ATTAGCCGCGCTCATCTTCAAAGGATTGGAGACTACCGTAAATGTGGCGGCAGTCGACCCCGAGGCGGCGGCTATAATAAGGTTCATGGGAACCGAAAAAAGAAAAAAATTGTATTTACAAACCTAGAGCTCTTGATACCATGTGAAATAATGGGAAAGAGGTACTCCAATAGGAGTCCTGACAGATATATTTATAATAGAGGAGTTGCCAAAATACAAGGTATTCCTAAATAGATATTAGGCAGATTCCTAAATATCTATTAGGTAGATTCCTAATTATATTAGCCTATTACTTCTAGCAGCGCCGATTACTCTCATCTCCGGTGATTGAGAGCTTGAGGGAGAAGAAAACTTAGAAAAGCATGAGCTTCTTGGGTTGTGAGTATTGGCCGGAGGCTATTTATTGGGAAATTGAGACTTGGGGGTGAGCTGTGTTACCTGTGTATTATGGTGCTATCGATCTACTACGTAATTTAATAATACTGCACAACACACTATTATTCGGTAGAAAATAGATATACACTTCTAATGATAAGACAGGTTGTCCAGTTATCCATGCTAGACATTCCACAGGCTGGCAGCACATGTTTTCAAATTTTGAAAAGTCAAGTAGCTTATTGTAGAAGGCAATAGCGAGTTCCAAGATAATTATTCTCCATCTGATCAATTGCTAGTGCTGCAGCATCCATGACCCGATTGCGATCCATATTTGACCCGTATCTTTTGGAGGGAAAATGACCAGTTTTTCCACCTCTTTTTATATAGAGTAAGATGCTTATTGTTGTTCCTCATGCGGCAATTCCTAATGAGTCATACTCCCACTACGTACGTAATTGCTTAGTGAGTTAGTGCTGTTTTAGGAATTGAATGAGCCGGTGTTTTTTTGAAAAAAACATTTATTTATCAAACACTATCAATTTTTTACTTTTCTCGGCTTTCGTGTCAAAAGTGTTTTCCCCTTTTTATAGGCCAAAAGCACTTAGAGCCTGTTTGGTAGCACGAAAATCGGTTGTTTTGGCTGATTCTGCTGAAATTTATGAAGTTCTGGCTGAAGTGGTTGCTTTGGCTTTTTCTGCTGATTTAAGTAAAAATTATTTTTAAAATATATTTTATTAATCAAATAAAGAAAAAAATTATATGTAAAAATAGCTAAAATGGTCATCTACAGTAATTTCAGCCAATACAGCCAGAAAAGTAACTCTAATCTTACTTTTTCTGCTTATTACACAATTCAGCGCGCGAAAGTAAAAGTTACGTGTTTGGTGAAAAAGTTAGCTGATAAGCCTGATAAACCAAAAAAAGATGTTACCAAACGGCCTCTTATATTTTACCAAACACTACTAACTTTTTTTACTATCAACTTTTACTTTTCAAAATCATTTTTTTCTCAAACACTATCAACTTTTACAACTAATCACTTTTTCCAAATCGCCCCAAAAATGTTTTTTTAAGCAGAAGCTATTGCAAACACTCCTCAAGTAGTACTCGTATAATAATTTGAGTGAACTGAGCTTATTTTTTTGCTTGATGAATTGTTTAATTGGACATGGAATGTTAAGAAAGTTTTTCTTATTGCTTATACCCTCTACTTTAAAAATGGGTTTCAAAGTAATTTTCGAAAAAGTCTTTAATGATAAAAATTTGTATTGTTTGAAAAAATATTTTGAACAGATAAATGTTGGTAGTGGTATGTGCAATAGAAAAAGTGCAAAATAGAAATTGTGAAAAGTGATTTAAAGCCAAAAATTGAAATTCATTTTTTTATTATTGCAAACACTCCATAAGTTGCAATAACCTTTTAAAGATGCTACCTCCGTCCCTTAAAACTTTGCCAAGTTTGACCGGCACGAGAATTAATAAAGTAAAAAATATGTGGTAGATGATTGTGCAGGGGAGAATTAACTGGACCACAAATTTTTTACTCAAAAGAGAAAGTGGCAAAGTACAAAAATCCGGTGACCATGCATATGTATACTCAATCAGTTTATGGATGTTTTTACTTGGACTGTAATTTGCTGGTTTGGTCTGATCTGGTCTAGTCTGAGACAAATTGCAGTCCAAGTAAAAACATCCTATGTTGTATACGGAGTAGCTCCGAATAAGAAAGTTTTAAATCTAAAATGTATTTTTTAAATCGTGAAGCTCATGAATTGTGTTTTTATTGTATGTTTATACTTAATTGGAAAAGAGAAATTTGATCTCAAGCACCTTAATGTATGTAATTTGTAAATTTGTTTACATGAGTGTGTTCTTGTTAATATGAAACCTTTTTCAATTCATAGTCTAATTTAGACTCTCGTGTATGTATTTAATTTGCTACTAACAAATGTGTTTTCCCATATTGAATTTATGTTTTAGATCATTTTGAGTGAAGACTACAACTTTTAAAATATATGATTTTGTTGTCATTAGCGAATTTAGAAGAAAATATTACACAAAACCATGATGGTTCTATTAAGTCATACAAATTATTACTATTGGCATCTTCCTATCGCGCAACTAGCAAATTTAGAAGAAAATATTACACAAAATATTACCTAGCGGTTTTAACTACGCAGTTATTTTCAATAATTCATTTGAATGCCTTCCAAGAAAGTATTTCCAACTAGCGAAAACCTTTCTCCAAGATATATATAATGAGCTCTTTGGTGTAAGCCGGTAACAGAACAACGAGAGTAAAAACTATATTGATCCAGCATAGTAGAATTGTTGTGTGTGTAAAATAGTTAGTAGCTACCAGCCCCCTAGCTATAAACAAAGTAGCTCATCACTATATATACATGCATGTAAATATGAACGTTGCAGCAGATAAAACATTACTCCCTCCGTTCCCCTAAGTTTGGGACGGAGGGGTGTGGTGTGGTTTTTAAGAAAAAGTGGAATTGTGTGGTTGGTATTGAATTGATATAGTGTAAATAAAGTAAGAATGAATTCTAACCACTCAAATGTTACCAAATATGGTATGTGACAAACTTAGTGGGACGGACGAAAAAGGTAAAACGGGACAAACTTAGGGGGACAGAGGGAGTAGTATTTAATACTAACGTTCGTATCATTAAGTAATGTTAACGTTGTCACATAAGGTGCATTTATTCATTTGAAAGTAACGTACCATGCATCATTTACTTTATAAAATTGAGTAAGTTAAAAAGCGGGAAAAAGTGCAAATAGGCCCATGTACTAACAAAAAAAGGTCAAATAAGCCCTTATTTAGGAGGCTCTGTCCGGCCGTCGTCATTTGGGGTGGTTCCCGGTGGAATTTTTCGATGAATTTTTTTTAGCATCTTATCCATTAAGTCTAGTTTACTCATACCAAATTTCAGCTAAAACTTCAATCGGGAAGGCATTCAAATGAATTCTTGAAAATAACTGCGCAGTTAGAAGCGCAATTATCTTCAAGAATTCATTTGAATGACTTCCCGATTGAAGTTTTAGCTGAAATTTGGTATGAGTAAACTAGACTTGATGAATAAGATGCTCAAAAAAGTTCATCAAAAAATTCCACCGGGAACCACCCCAAATGACGACGGCCGGACAGAGCCTCCTAAATAAGGGCTTATTTGACCTTTTTTGGTTAGTACATGGGCCTATTTGCACCTTTTCCCGTTAAAAAGCTAACAAACAAATACTAGTAGAATAATTGTACCGTCTGTACGTGCAAAAGTTGATTACCAAAATAGTGGGGAAAAACAGTTTATACTTTATTCATTTGAAATACTCCCAATATTTCCAACAACCCCCCACATATTTCGAATGAATATTTTTAGATGTTAAAAATAATATAGAAAATGTCTGCTGGATTAAAGGAATGAGAATTTAAGTTTGGTGTCCGTAGACTATGAACCGAACCGAGACGATTAAGTTTTAATAAACCGAGCTTTTGGTGAAACATATAGTTTCTATGAACCAACAAGCTACTATTGGTAAATCACGGTCTTAACGGTCATGTCTCACCCCACACAATTTCTCGTTATTACGCTGTTGTGCGCCGTAAGGTCATGCACGTGCTTGGTGTTCATGAGTGCTCTAGAAGTTTTGTCATGCTTCATAGAGGCGGCCCCACCTCACACTCATATAGGTGACATCATTAAGTGTGTAACGCTTTTGCACACCACCCTAAAATTAAGGGCTATGATAATCATTAAGAGCTTTCAGCTCACTCTCTCAAAGAATGCGGTTTCTAGTCTATATCTGACATAATGGAAATGAGCAATTTTAGTTAGGCTAGCAGAACTAAATGGAAAACTTGTTATTATCCATATGAACTTGCTTCATGGGATCTCCAATCACACAAGTTGGGTTCTCATCCCCATTTGTTTCAAAGTGACACTAGTCGCGGAGCCAGAAAACTATGATAATTAAGGGGACCCCTCCTTAAAAATTTTACATTGCAGAGCCAAAGTTCAAAATATCAACATATTTTCTATAGATTAAAAGTACTTATATATAATATATATACTTAAGAACTTTTTTCTTGCAGGGGCCGAGGCCCCCTCCAGCCCCTCTGTGACACCGCTCCCGAAGGTCCTTGAAAATTTGATTTAAAATCGAGAATGGCGTCCTGGATCCACTCGGGAGTGACCCACACGGCTAGTAGTCCAATAATATGTATGACAAATGTCAAATAAGTGATAGAATGATTAAAGGAGAATACAAATGCCTATAACCCCATCTTTGGCATTATTGAGCTAAATAATGGGAGTAGGATTTTCCTCCTATAATATCCATCAAGTAAATTATTGAGATGAGCCTACACATATTGGAGACCAATAATGTGATGTAGGAAGTTGACTTGTTCTAAATAAATTAGGATGAGTACAAAAAGACATCTTTTGACAAAAGATAAAACAATAGGACCCATCTTCCCATTTTTTTTTTGGAAGTATTGGTAGATATTTTGGACCCCAAAGTGATTGGGATCAATTGGGAACCACTCCACATGCCTTGGTAACATGATTGAGAGCTCTTGTATACTCCCACAACCCCCCATTCGACCCCCCAAAAGAGATAAGAGAGCAAAGGTATCCACACAACTCATAAGGGAAGGAAGAAGGAGAGCAGTCCGCAGGTTCTTTCTTTAGTGCGAAGCTCTTACTGTTCGAGCCATAACTTGGGATTTACTCGTCCAATTAAGGCGTATAAGGTACCAAAAGAAAGCTCTCAAGACGAGGAATCCGTGGAGGTCTGGTTTGCATCAATCGGAGTAGTGGAAGGCCTCCAGATTGTCCGAACAAAACGCAACCTCGCAGAACACAGTTTTGTATTCAAAGTAAGTTTGAATCCAAAACCTTCCTTTTCATTTTCCAAATGATATGAACGATTGGTGGGACTATTATACACTACTAGAAGTGTATAATATGTCCTTATAAAGCTATTTTATTGATGTAAAGGTTAGATACTAACCTAGAACAAATCTTGGAAAAACTAGGAAACGAGTTGACCGGGAAACACCCGTTCTAGGGGCTGTTTTCGTATCAACGATTAAGGGTTGAACTAGCACTTTGAGGAGGCTGTTTAACACTCATATTTGAGCAAGGAATCAGTTCCAAATCCACCTTGACCAAAGCTTTGACCATTGGACCAAGAAGGGAAAGTTTAAAGCTCAATTGAGGTGAGGATTGACATCTAATTGCTTACAACTTGTAGGTTAAGCATGAGATTACCTAAATGCTTAAATCATTATTTTCCATGAATTAGGATGGTTACATATTGATGAAATATTGATATAGTTGCCAAAGAATGAAATTTGAAATGATTTGAGAATGTATGAATATTATGAGATTAAATGAGTATAAATGAACTATTTTTGTGAAATAGGCATTTTGCTCATATATGAATTATGTGGATACATAAATGAATATTTGTGTATTGAGATTTAATACTTAAGTTGCTGCTACATAATTATAAATATGTGGAGAATTACAAATAATGAGGATAATGGTATGATAACAATAATCTTAATAGTATTGAAATACTAGTTAGTGATTATTGGGACTTGTTGATTAAATTGATCCTAGGGATCGGATTGTATGAAAGGTACTTGAATATAGTTCAAGTGTATATAATACTTAGTATGGAACTAAGGTTAAGTTATGGGAAGTCTTTAAGGATGACCCATGGTAGTTTATTGATATGTCAATTCTAGGCATAGGGTTGCTTGAGAATTGGACCTTAATGCATGGTGATGTGGTAGAGCCGAGCTCTAGAATGCATGTAAGGTGTAGACTTGTAGTCTATGTATTGTATAGCTAGAGCCGAGCTCTAGGACTTGCGTGGTGATGTGGTAGAGCCGAGCTCTAGAACGCAAGGTAAGGAAATTGACCCGAGGTATATGAATTGTATGGTGATGTGGTAGAGCCGAGCTCTAGAATACAATGTCATGTACTAGGGTTGGACTCTAGGAGTTGTCGTGGCTTATAGTCATGGGGTTGGGAATGGTGATTTCCAAATGAACATGGGCCCACGGGCCGACTACTTGACTTTTATATAAAGTAAGTATATTTTTAAACGGGGTAACTTAGGGTTACAATCATAATGTACTATCACCCTATTTGAGGGTCTTGTGTTTGAAATACTTGTTGTATATCTATTAGATGCCTGCCACACCAGTACTTTATAGCCGTATAGAGTACTGACCCCTTCGGGGGCGTCCCACCACCATTTCAGGTTGAGGCTAGAGCTTGCATCCTGTGCTCGTTGATCGGGTGATCCCTCGGAGAGAAGACTTGGTTCGTGCTTCCTCCGTTCTATTTGAAACATTAATAAATTTGCTCATGGATATTTTACTATAGAGCCTGCGTGCTCATGAATAGCCCTGTGTGGCTCTTTTGTTTTAAACAATGTTTTCCGCTGCGTTATGAATTACTTATTATGATTGTTTATGGATGTATATGTGTGAATGATATTCAAGACGCCTTGTATAACATGAATGTGTTGGACTGCGGTTGACTATTCATATTGTACGGCGGGTTGTTGACGTGTCCGGATAGGTCCGGGGCGTGACAATTAAGTTGGTATCAGAGCCCTAGTCCATAAACTTCATAATGAAGTCTCAAAATTCTCTTTTTGAAAAGATTTTGAAAACCATGAGCATAGAAGTTTTGTACTTGGAGAGCTTTTGGTACTTGGGTTGCAAGGTCTCTAATTGTTAAGATGGTACCCTTAGCAATTGGTATGGCGGTGACTCGAGCCAAAATGTGTCTTAAGTACCTGTCCGTCAATTGACTTTTGATACGGGTCTAACGACTCTTTCCAAATTCTTTCAGAAATGGACCGTGGTGGCAGGATTACTAGGAGAAACCCGACCGGCCGTGTACCAGTGGAGACTGGACAGGGCAGTCGAAGGACCTCTAGGGCATCTAGAGGAGCTGGCCGTGGAGGCCGATCACAGACCGTGAGTGACGGTCATGTCGACACGGAAAGTGAAACCTACTGGTCCTATGAGGACTCGACCTATCGACCGGAAACTGAACCGGTTGAGACCCCTTATGAAGGGGATGATGATGATGTAAGTGATGAGGAGGAAAATGGCTCCTTAGCACGGATTGAAGCACTACTTCAACAGTATCACCGTGAGCGTGAAGAGAGGAGGGAACGCCGAAGGCGCCGGGCTGGGCAACCTTCGGGCATGGCTTCACGAGGAGGAAGTCATGGTGCATCTAGAGTCCATGTGGAACCACGTGGGGGCCAAAATGATGGAGGGCCAACCATAAGGATCTCCAAATACATCAAAGAAGCAAGAGATTTGGGGTGCAAACCCTTTGATGGAGCAGGGGACATTTCAGTGGCAGCACAATGGATCAAGAGGCTAAATGAAGCGGCCCTTGACATGCAAATCGCGCCGAATCTCAAACTGAGAATTGCGGTAAGATTGCTCGAGGGGATGGCATCCAAGTGGTGGGATGGAACCAAGAACAAGTACGGTGAGACCGTCGTTTGGGAGGACTTCCAACGGGAGTTCTTTGCCCAATACTATTCTGATTTCGAGGTGAATAAGAAGGTGAGGGAATACACCCTCCTAACCCAAGGGGGTAACATGTCAGTGAAGGAGCTTGAGTACAAGTTCCGGGATCTCGCCGACTACATACCGGAGTATGCTTGTGACGAGAACCGCATGGTGAACCACTTTTGGGACGCTCTTGACTTGGAGATACGTGATAGGGCAACGCAATTGCCTAATATGACTTTCGCCCAAGTGGTTGAACAAGCATTGAAAGGGGAGAAACAGTGGGAGGAACGGAAGAAGAGAGACGCCGAAGAGGCGAAAAAGAGAAAATGGGAGAGTCATGGCTCCCAAGGTTCCAACAAAAGGGGGAACCACGGAGGAGGATCTTTCCGGGCACCACCGCCACCATCAAGGGGGAACCAAGGCCCAAGTGGGCAAGGCTCGAGGTCACAGACCTCAGTAGTAACTCGTTGCAACAATTGCAAGAGGAACCATTCCGGTAAATGTCGCGACCCCCCTAGATGTTTCCAATGTGGGGATGCCGGGCATTTGAAGGCACATTGCCCACAACTGGGCGGGGCAAGGACATCGGGACCAAGTAGTGGCCCGACGGGTACACGGAATCAGACCGGGGCTTCTCAAGCAAGCAGGGGGCAAGGGGGAGCAAGTGCGAGCAACGCGCCATCCGTGAACCAAGGAAGGACCCAGGCTAGGGTCTATGCGATGACAGAGGCGGATGCTCAAGCTAACCCGGACTCCGTTGCAGGTATTGCCTATCATATACTAGTGTTTTATCCTTAATTAGTCCATAAATTGAGGATACTAATCGCTAGGATCATTGCACGAGGTTTTGGGGTCGAACCGGGGGATTTCGGGCAACTTCAGGCGGCTGGGACCCAGGCACGATCGTGCCTAAGGCAGACACGATCGTGCCTCCAAGTCAGTAGCTGCCCAGGTATATTCCCAGCCCAGGCACGATCGTGCCTAAGGCAGACACGATCGTGCCTACAAGGCAGTAGCTGCCCAGGGTTTTTCTCCAACCCAGGCACGATCGTGCCTAAGGAAGACACGATCGTGCCTCCAAGTCAGTGGTTCCCAGGATTTTTCCAACCCAGGCACGATCGTGCCTAAGGCAGACACGATCGTGCCTCCAAGGCAGTAGCCCCAGGGCGTTTTCCTGAGCCAGGCACGATCGTGCCTACCCCGGGCACGCCGTGCCTGGCACCCAGATTGCCGAAACCCGATTTTTTCGCATCGTTTTGCGACGTTAAGGCCTCTTCTTGATCCCTAACGTGCGTGTGAACATTGCAACCTTCTATAAATGAGTAGGGAGGGTAGGAAAGATGTCTTACATGGTTCATGAATGTAGGGACACTAAAGATTAGCGGGAAGGATGCACGAATCCTTATCGATACCGGAGCGCAACGTTCATTCGTGAGTGAGACGTTTGCCGAGAGCTTAGAGATGCAATCAATACCAATGACACAAACCTTAGTGGTATCAACCCCACTAGGGGAAGACGTTGAAAGAAACAATTACTATCCATCTTGTATGGTGGAAATCGGTGGCCAAACCTTGACGTGTGATTTCGTACCGCTGAGTATGATGGAGTTCGATGCAATCCTAGGGATGGATTGGCTAGAAAAGCATCATGCTAGGGTAGATTGCTACACAAAGGTGTTGGAACTCGAAGGCACACAGGGGGACACCCTACGCTTCGAGGGGGACCGCGGCAAATCAAATAGTTGTATCATATCCGCCGTGAGAGCGAGGAATATGATGAGGAAGGGATGCCACGCATATCTAGCATACGTGGTTGACAAAACCAAAGAGGAAACGAACATCGATGATGTGAGGGTGGTTTGTAAGTATCCGGATGTCTTCCCTAAAGACCTACCGGGGCTTCCACCTGACAGAGAGATTGAATTTGTGATCGAGGTCGAGCCTGGTACCAAACCAATCTCCATACCGCCATACCGGATGGCACCCGCTGAACTTAACGAGTTGAAAACCCAATTGCAAGAGCTTTTGGATAACGGTTTCATTAGACCAAGCCACTCCCCGTGGGGAGCACCGGTTCTTTTTGTGAAAAAGAAAGATGGGACACTTCGAATGTGCATTGACTATCGTCAACTGAACAAGGTCACAATCAAGAATAGGTATCCGTTGCCTAGGATTGATGACTTGTTTGATCAACTACGAGGAGCAACCGTGTTTTCGAAGATTGACTTGAGGTCGGGGTACCATCAATTGAAGATTAAGGAAGATGACATACCAAAGAGTGCTTTCCGCACAAGGTATGGGCATTTTGAGTTCCTTGTTATGTCGTTTGGGTTAACAAACGCCCCGGCGGCATTCATGGACTTGATGAACCGAGTATTCCATAAATACTTGGATCGATTCGTGATTGTGTTCATAGATGACATCTTGATTTACTCAAAGAGTGAAGAAGAGCATGAGGAGCACTTGATACTTGTTCTTGAAACACTACGGGAGAAGCAACTCTATGCCAAATTTTCTAAATGTGAATTTTGGCTAAAGGAGATTGGCTTCCTCGGGCACGTGGTTTCGGGATCGGGGATTGCTGTTGATAACAAGAAGATAGAAGCCATTACTGAATGGGAGAGGCCAAAGAACGTCAAGGAAATTCGTAGTTTCCTTGGATTGGCAGGCTACTATAGAAAGTTCGTGGAGAAGTTCTCTGTTTTGGCATCGCCATTGACGAAGCTCACTCGTAAAGGAGCTAAGTTTGTATGGGATGACAAATGTGAGAAAGGGTTCATGGAACTAAAGAAGAGATTGACTGAGGCACCGGTACTTGCATTACCCAAACAAGGTGTGGGGTACGATGTCTATAGCGATGCGAGCATCCAAGGGCTCGGATGTGTACTGATGCAGAATGGGAGGGTAATCGCCTATGCTTCACGACAATTGAAGAAGCATGAGGTGAATTATCCTACTCATGATTTGGAGCTCGGGGCAGTGGTATTTGCACTGAAGATATGGAGACATTATCTCTACGGGGAGACATGTCACATATACACTGATCACAAGAGCTTGAAGTACGTGTTTACTCAGAAAGAGCTAAACATGAGACAGAGACGGTGGATGGAGCTGATAAAAGACTACCATATAGTGATAGAGTATCACTCAGGCAAGGCAAACGTGGTGGAAGATGCTTTGAGCCGGAAGAGCTCGTCTGGGGCATTGATAACTAATTTGAGGGCATTAAGAGCCCAACTGGAGGTAACCAGCGATGGTGCCTTATTGGCACGATTTGAGGTGAGACCCACTTTACTTGATGAGATCAAGAAGGGGCAGGAAGCCGACGAAGAACTTATGAAGGTCCGGGAACGCATGCAAGCGGGGCCGGTGGAGGATTTCAGGGAAAGAGATGATGGTCTCTTGTTATTTCGTGACCGAGTGTGTGTACCGTCAGATGATGAGCTCCGAAAGTCCATCTTAGAGGAGGCTCATTCATCGGCTTATGCCATGCACCCGGGGGGCACGAAAATGTACCGTGATTTGAAGGAAAGTTACTGGTGGTCTGGAATGAAGAGGGAAATAGCCGAGTACATCAGTCGGTGCCTTACTTGTCAACAAGTTAAGGCAGAACATCAGCACCCAGCAGGCTTATTGCAACCACTCTCCATCCCTGAATGGAAGTGGGAGCACGTGACTATGGATTTCGTGGTAGGCTTACCACGGACTATCAGGAACTATGACGCGGTTTGGGTCGTTGTGGATAGGCTCACAAAGAGTGCACACTTCTTGCCTATCAACACTACCTACCCACTTGAGAGGTTAGCCAAATTGTATACGGATGAGATCGTGAGGCTGCATGGGGTCCCGGTGACCATTGTATCTGATAGAGACCCACGATTCACATCACGTTTTTGGCCGAAATTCCAGGAGTCTATGGGAACGAAGTTGAAGTTCAGCACTGCTTTCCATCCACAGACGGATGGGCAGTCTGAAAGGGTTATACAGATCCTAGAAGACATGCTGAGGGCTTGTGCATTGGAGTTCCAGGGAAGTTGGGACAACCACTTAGCACTTGTGGAGTTTGCCTATAACAACAGCTATCAGGCAAGCATCGGCATGCCTCCATACGAGGCATTGTATGGGAGGAGGTGCCGTACACCATTATGCTGGGACGAGGTTGGCATGGCCAAACTCGAGGGTACTGAGTTGGTTGAGGTCACCAAATCAAAGGTGAAGTTGATTCGAGAGAGACTCAAAGCGGCTCAGGATAGACAAAAGAGTTATGCAGATAAGCGTCGAAGAACCTTAGAGTTTAAGGTTGATGACGAGGTATTCTTGAAAGTTTCTCCTTGGAAAGGGATCATTCGGTTCCAAACCCGAGGAAAACTTAACCCACGATATATAGGTCCATTTAGGATTATAGAGAGGATTGGAGCCGTTGCATATCGTCTACAGTTGACTCCTGAGTTAGAGAAGATACATAATGTGTTTCATGTATCCATGCTTAAGAAGTATGTGCATGATCCTTCTCATGTGTTGGAGAAGCCGCCCGTGGAGGTACGTGAAGATTTGAACTATGCCGTGCAACCGGTAAGAGTTATTGACAGAAAAGTGAAGAAACTGAGGAGTAAAGAAGTTCCAATGGTTAAAGTCCTTTGGAAAAGTGACCGGGTCGAAGAAGAGACTTGGGAAACAGAAGCTTTGATGAGGAAGCAGTATGCATTCCTATTTGAGTAGAGCTGTGAATTTCGGGGACGAAATTCCTGTTAAGGGGGGGTGAACTTGTGACACCGCTCCCGAAGGTCCTTGAAAATTTGATTTAAAATCGAGAATGGCGTCCTGGATCCACTCGGGAGTGACCCACACGGCTAGTAGTCCAATAATATGTATGACAAATGTCAAATAAGTGATAGAATGATTAAAGGAGAATACAAATGCCTATAACCCCATCTTTGGCATTATTGAGCTAAATAATGGGAGTAGGATTTTCCTCCTATAATATCCATCAAGTAAATTATTGAGATGAGCCTACACATATTGGAGACCAATAATGTGATGTAGGAAGTTGACTTGTTCTAAATAAATTAGGATGAGTACAAAAAGACATCTTTTGACAAAAGATAAAACAATAGGACCCATCTTCCCATTTTTTTTTGGAAGTATTGGTAGATATTTTGGACCCCAAAGTGATTGGGATCAATTGGGAACCACTCCACATGCCTTGGTAACATGATTGAGAGCTCTTGTATACTCCCACAACCCCCCATTCGACCCCCCAAAAGAGATAAGAGAGCAAAGGTATCCACACAACTCATAAGGGAAGGAAGAAGGAGAGCAGTCCGCAGGTTCTTTCTTTAGTGCGAAGCTCTTACTGTTCGAGCCATAACTTGGGATTTACTCGTCCAATTAAGGCGTATAAGGTACCAAAAGAAAGCTCTCAAGACGAGGAATCCGTGGAGGTCTGGTTTGCATCAATCGGAGTAGTGGAAGGCCTCCAGATTGTCCGAACAAAACGCAACCTCGCAGAACACAGTTTTGTATTCAAAGTAAGTTTGAATCCAAAACCTTCCTTTTCATTTTCCAAATGATATGAACGATTGGTGGGACTATTATACACTACTAGAAGTGTATAATATGTCCTTATAAAGCTATTTTATTGATGTAAAGGTTAGATACTAACCTAGAACAAATCTTGGAAAAACTAGGAAACGAGTTGACCGGGAAACACCCGTTCTAGGGGCTGTTTTCGTATCAACGATTAAGGGTTGAACTAGCACTTTGAGGAGGCTGTTTAACACTCATATTTGAGCAAGGAATCAGTTCCAAATCCACCTTGACCAAAGCTTTGACCATTGGACCAAGAAGGGAAAGTTTAAAGCTCAATTGAGGTGAGGATTGACATCTAATTGCTTACAACTTGTAGGTTAAGCATGAGATTACCTAAATGCTTAAATCATTATTTTCCATGAATTAGGATGGTTACATATTGATGAAATATTGATATAGTTGCCAAAGAATGAAATTTGAAATGATTTGAGAATGTATGAATATTATGAGATTAAATGAGTATAAATGAACTATTTTTGTGAAATAGGCATTTTGCTCATATATGAATTATGTGGATACATAAATGAATATTTGTGTATTGAGATTTAATACTTAAGTTGCTGCTACATAATTATAAATATGTGGAGAATTACAAATAATGAGGATAATGGTATGATAACAATAATCTTAATAGTATTGAAATACTAGTTAGTGATTATTGGGACTTGTTGATTAAATTGATCCTAGGGATCGGATTGTATGAAAGGTACTTGAATATAGTTCAAGTGTATATAATACTTAGTATGGAACTAAGGTTAAGTTATGGGAAGTCTTTAAGGATGACCCATGGTAGTTTATTGATATGTCAATTCTAGGCATAGGGTTGCTTGAGAATTGGACCTTAATGCATGGTGATGTGGTAGAGCCGAGCTCTAGAATGCATGTAAGGTGTAGACTTGTAGTCTATGTATTGTATAGCTAGAGCCGAGCTCTAGGACTTGCGTGGTGATGTGGTAGAGCCGAGCTCTAGAACGCAAGGTAAGGAAATTGACCCGAGGTATATGAATTGTATGGTGATGTGGTAGAGCCGAGCTCTAGAATACAATGTCATGTACTAGGGTTGGACTCTAGGAGTTGTCGTGGCTTATAGTCACGGGGTTGGGAATGGTGATTTCCAAATGAACATGGGCCCACGGGCCGACTACTTGACTTTTATATAAAGTAAGTATATTTTTAAACGGGGTAACTTAGGGTTACAATCATAATGTACTATCACCCTATTTGAGGGTCTTGTGTTTGAAATACTTGTTGTATATCTATTAGATGCCTGCCACACCAGTACTTTATAGCCGTATAGAGTACTGACCCCTTCGGGGGCGTCCCACCACCATTTCAGGTTGAGGCTAGAGCTTGCATCCTGTGCTCGTTGATCGGGTGATCCCTCGGAGAGAAGACTTGGTTCGTGCTTCCTCCGTTCTATTTGAAACATTAATAAATTTGCTCATGGATATTTTACTATAGAGCCTGCGTGCTCATGAATAGCCCTGTGTGGCTCTTTTGTTTTAAACAATGTTTTCCGCTGCGTTATGAATTACTTATTATGATTGTTTATGGATGTATATGTGTGAATGATATTCAAGACGCCTTGTATAACATGAATGTGTTGGACTGCGGTTGACTATTCATATTGTACGGCGGGTTGTTGACGTGTCCGGATAGGTCCGGGGCGTGACACCCTCCCTGTCTCCACCCCTGACACTAGTCCCATTTCCTTCGATGTTTCGGTTATAAATTTTCGTCCTAGGACTTTTGTCAAAGGATCCGCTAAATTTCTTGTGACCTCACAAAATTAATGAACACAATTCCATTCTTCAATAATCGTTTAATGACTTTATGCCTTAAACGAATGTGTTTATTTTTCCCATTATAACACATTTTCTTAGCAACATCTATTGCACTTCTGCAATCACAATGAATAGACACAAATGGTGTTGGTTTTGTACCAACCGGAATTTCTGCTAAGAAAGATTTCAACCACTCCGCTTCACTACTAGCTACTTCCAAAGCAATAAGCTCGAACTCCATAGTGGATCTAGAAATTATAATTTGTTTGGTTGATTTCCACGTAATCGCACCACCTCCAAGGGTGAATATATATCGAGTGTTGGATTTTATCTCATCTAAGTCAGAGACCCAGTCAGCATCGCTGTATCCCTCTCGTACAGCTGGTAACCCACTATAAAATATATCATAATTAATGGTACCTCTCAAATATTTGAGTAACCGCCTCAACGTAGTCCAATGATCCCCACTTGGATTATGAGTATATCGACTCAATCTTCTGACAACATAAGCTATGTCGGGCCTCGTATAATTCATCAAGTGTAATAGACTTCCAATAATTTGGGAATACTCATATTGAGCCTCGGGATCACCTCTATGTTTTTTCAAATGTATATGAGAGTCATAAAGGGTGCTCACGGGGCTGACATCGAAATGTCCAAAACTCTAGAAATTTTTCATTCCACTGTTTTGGAGCTTTTTTCAAACCATATAAAGATGTGATCAACTTATACACTTTGTGTTCCTGACCAATAACTACATGATCCTCCGGTTGCACCATATAAATTCCTTCCTCTAGCTCACCATTTAAAAACGCAGTTTTAACATCCATTTGATGAATAAAAAGTTTGTGAATGGAAGCCAAGGCAATTAAAGTTCGTATAGATGAAATACGCGTTACCGGTGCAAATGTATCAAAATAATCAACATCTTGTTTTTCATAAAAACCTTTCGCCACAAGCCTCGCTTTATATTTATCAATTGAACCATCCGGGTTTAATTTCTTTTTAAAAATCCATTTGCATCTGATTGGTTTGCAACCTTTCGGTAAATCGGTTAAAATCCAAGTTTTATTTTTTTTTGATAGAATCAAAACGTAAGGCGGAGAGGACTAGCGAAAGCTAGGGTTTTGGGATCGTTTTTTCGCAGCTTTGTCTGCTCAGTTTTCTTCCACAGGAGCTTTCGAACGTCTGCCTGTCTAGGATAGAATCAAGTTCGACTACTTCGGCAAACCAGAAGCATTTTAAGCTACGGCCATCCAGTTGAGCAATACAGGGTGGATGTATTTTGTCCTTCTTGAGAGGTTCGTACAAATTGTTGTTTGGAAGCAAAATAACAGGAGAAATTTCGGTCGAGTTTTGTCGTGATGTCAATCGCGTCCAGGGGGGTCGGAGGGGATCGTGGACCTGCTTTGACTGGGGTTCCGAGGGTTAATTTTCCGATGCTTATTCTGGCTATTTTGGCTCTGTTGATGACTGAGATGGAAAGCGCACCAACTGTGTTTGATCCGGGTGGAACACTGACGGTTTGGATCTCGGTTAAAGTGGGCGAATTTGGGCTCCAATCGGCTATTGGGGGACCGAGGCGGTTGCTTTGGCCGCCTCCGGTAATCGTTTTTACATTTTTTCCTTTTCGATTGCTCATGTTGCTATTACTTTTGTTATGAACTCTAGTGATAGGTTGGTGTCTTGGTTTTTAGGTTTTACTCACGATATTACTGTGGGTGGAAGCGATAAGGTTGTTTGGCCGTTAAAGCTTCGAAGCTCTCACATGGTTCGTGAATAGTCTCGCTCCTTTCGGCGTGGTCTATTCAATGTCTAGCCAGAGAGTGGGAGGACCTTTTGGCGATGTATGCTTGGAAGATCTTTGAGAATTTGCGTTGATATAATACAATCAGTTTCCTTTCAAAAAAAATTGTTTGATAGAATCAATTTCATTTTGTATGGCCTCAAGCCAAAAAGGAGCTTCTTTGGAAGAAATAGCTTGTGAATAAGTTAAAGGTTCATCATTAACAAGATATGTAAAAAAATCATTTCCAAAAGATTTTTCTATCCTTGGCCTCTTACTTCTTCTCAAAAGAGAAGGTTCATCACCAAAAAAATTATTTTCTTTTAATGGCTCACTATCACTAGAGGGTTCACCATTAAAGGTTTCATTTCCTTGTAATGGATCATACTCACTATATGGTGCAACGGTCTTGTATTCACATTTCAAAGGAAACACATTTTCAAAAAATTCAGCATTTTTTGTTTCAACAATTGTATCACATTCAAGCACATCACTTTGCAAAACAAGGAATGTATAAGCAACATTAGATTCAGCATAACCAATTAACATGCGATCAGAAGTCTTAGAAACAATTTTCCTCTTCTTAGGATCAGGCAATAAGACTTTAGCCAAACACCCCCTCACTTTCAAATACTTAAAATTAGGCGCAAAACCTTTCCACAATTCATAAGGGGTTTTCTTATTGTGCTTATAAGGACTCCTATTTTGTAGGTGACATGCAGAAAGAATAGCCCCCCCCCCCCCCCCCAAGATTATCAGGTGCACCAGAACTGATTAAAAGAGCATTCATCATATCTTTTAGTGTCCTATTCTTTCTTTCAACTATTCCATTAGATTCAGGTGAATATGGCGGAGTAACCTCATGAAAATCCCTTCTTTTCCACAAAAATCATTAAATAAAAAATACCCACCCCCTCTATCCGATCTAACTCTCTTAATCTTTTTATTTAATTGATTTTCTACCTCGGATTTATACACTAAAAATTTATCAAAAGCCTCATCTTAATTTTTAAGCAAATAAACTTTAGTGTATCTAGAAAAATCATCTATAAAGGTGACATAATATTTTTTACCACCTCTAGTCATGTTATTTTTTAAATCACCTAAATCCGTGTGAATTAAGCTAAGCAGTTCCGATTCCCTATATATGGAGGGACACTGTTTTTTGGTTAGTTTAGATTGAACACAAACATCACATTTTTCATGTGTCATTTTATTTTTCAAAAGAAATCAAACCACAATCATTTAGCATTTTAATATAAGAGGTACTTGCATGTCCGAGTCTAGCATGTCACACATTGTAAGAATCAACTAAATAAACAGAAGCATCATCATGCAATCATTCAGAAATACTAAGCACAAATAGCCCATTCTTACAATAGCCAATTCCCACAAGAATATCATTTTTGGTCATAACAAATGTGTCACAACCAAAAGAAACTTTAACCCCAACTTTTCCTAAGAGATAAACGAAAACTAAATTAGTCTGAATCTCAGGCACATGAAGCACATCATTTAGTGATAAAGTTTTCCCCGATGTGAGCTTATTTAAGAAGAACTTTCCCTTTTCCATGCACCTTAGCAGTTTTAGAGTCCGGTAGGTACACGAGCTCTTCACCATCTCCTATAATGGTATAGGAGGTAAAAGCATTTTTGTTTTTACAAATATGCTTTGTAGCCCCGGAGTCTACCACTCACTCATTCACATCATTAGTTTTACAACTTTGAGAAACAACCGCAAAAAAATTATCATCACTACTAACCAAGTTTAAACTTGATTTTAGTGAGTTGTTGTTTTTCATAGTTGTCATTTTACCACTAAATCTACTTATCTACCACCCACTCATTCACATAATTAGTTTTTCAGGTGCATTTATTCATTTGAAAGTATCGTACCATGCATCATTTATTTATAAAATTGATTAAGTTAAAAAGCTAACAAAAAAAGTAGAATAACTGTATGTGCAAAAGTTGATTACCAAAGTAGTGGGGAAAAATAGTTTCATTTGAAATACTACTCCTAATATTTCCAAGGCTAAAGGGTCAAATAGGTACATGAACTAACTTAAAGTGTTCAATTAGTCCCTTATATAGGAGGTTCTGCCCGGCCGTCGCCAATTCGGGCGGTTCGTGGTGGAATTTTTTGATGAAATTTTTTGAACATCTTCTTCATTAAGTATAGTTTACTCATATCAAATTTCAGCTAAAAATTAAATCGGGAAGACAGTCAAATGATTTTCCAAAAGGTACTGCGTTGTTTACCTGCGCAGTTATCTTCAAAAAATCATTTGACTGCCTTCCCGGTTGAATTTTTAGCTGAAATTTGGTATGGATAAACTAGACTTAATGCAGAAGATGCTCAAAAAATTTCATCAAAAAATTCCACCGGGAAACACCCCAATTGGCGACAACCGGGCAGAACCTCCTATATAAGGGGCTAATTGAACACTTTAAGTTAGTTCATGTACCTATTTGACCCTTTAGCCTATTTCCAACAGTCCGTTGGCCAGTGCTCATGGTCATGGATTACTGCGTCCTATTTTGATAGGAAAATTCGCTGGAAGAGCCAAAGAGGAAATAAGCTACTCAATGGTAGGCATGGACCAGGTTCGGGCCGCCCGGCCCGGGACCGGCCCGCCACTGTGCGGGCCCGGGACCGGCCCGCCACTGTGCGGGCCCGGAACCGGCCCGGTTCTCGGGTCCAGGTCGGGCCTAGGCCCGGTGGGGGGGGGGTCCGGACTCGGGCCTTGTATTTGGCGAACCGGCCCGGCCGGGTCGGGCCCGGGCCGAATTGATTTTTTTTTTTATTTTTTTTTCATTTTTTCATTTTTTGGGGTTAGCCGGGTTGGGCTTGATGGTTAGGAGGGGTTTGGGGTTTGGGGTTGGGGGTGGGGGGGGTGAGTGGGGGGGTTAGGAAAGCAAAAAACAAAAAAAAAAATTATGACCGAACCGGAGGCCCGGCCCGGCCCGGACCCGGACCGGACCCGATGGCTACCCGGGCCGGTCCCGATCCCTCCTTCCCAAAAAAAAAAGCCCGGCCGGG